TTACGCATGTGATAACAATAAAATATTTAAAAGACCAATGCTAAAGAAAATGATCAAAACAGAAAATGTTCAGAACAGAAAATATAATCAAAAAACGTCGAAAAGACAATTATACAGTGGTCGAATGATTTTGGAATAGGATTACCATTTCCTAAATTAGATTTGCTCATTAATTTTGAACTTTTTGGCGAATTTGGTCGGGTCTTGTCGCACTGCAATACGGCGATACCAATCCATGTGACTGTATGTCAACTGTTGGCAAAGTTGTGTATTATTTCTACTTTTATAGACAACTCGTGTCAAATTACTAATTATAGAGCTAGTTGTTTGGAACATGGCGCATTGGTTGTTATGTTCTTTCAAAAGATCCCGAAAGTGTGCCAATTCGACTTCAAAACGTGGTCCAAATTGTCGAATATTTTCCCACAATGTTCTGTTGAAATAATTGTAAAAGAGATAATCTGCATTTGACCATCTATATACGTTGCGTCGAAATGTGTCTGTGATGGTTTCACGTGTGGTACGTTGATTTTGTGCTAAATATATTATGTCTTCAAAACTCCAACACAGCAAATTTTTCAACAGAATCAGAGATTCGTCGAAGTATTCAAGTATAAGAACTAGGTCGAATTCTTTGTCCAGTCTCATAATGGTTTCATTCACAATAGTTTCATTGAGTGTGGATTCAAATGACAATCCAAATTCTCTCAACTGATTATTTCTACCCGTCGCATTTTTTGAGGTACGTGGTTTTTTAAGGAATGCTTGCATGGACGCCATTACTTGTTTTCTATGACTGAAAAAATTCATATGTGACTCTACGTGCGTGGCTGGCTCTCTTAAAATAGTCACATAAATAGGGTTGTCCTCCATGAATGAGTTTATTGTTTTCCTCTTGTACGACACATGACCAGTAAGTATATTGTATTTTGAAGATGAATTAACAACGCCGCCAATCGGTGGCAGTATTATCGACTGATTGAGATGCTCTTTTCGTATATGTCCGTTTTTTGTGTTACGAGTGGAAAACACGAATGAGAGTTTATTTGCATATCCATAGCGGCAAAAGATGCAATGGAGTGAAGTACTTCCTGTTTTATGAGTTTTTATAAAGACCATATTCTCTGCTGGTTGGCACGTTGGTGGTGTGGTTGGTGTCGGTTGTGTGGTGAACCATCTACTATCACGTGACACGTTAAATGGCAGTGGTTCGGGTGTGAATATACTGTACCATGTCAAAATAGTTGCTATAAGTAGTATCGACATCAGTATCTGTAAGAAGAAATACATTTAGTGTTATAACGAACTTTATGGCCACGAGAACAAAACAATTAACTTGCAAGTACATCACCCACAAAAAATATATTAAAGGGCAGTGGTCGTCGCGCAACGTATACGCGAGATATGGGTCTCATATAAATAAAAATGGCGGCTGAGACTGTTGTGCAAATCAATGAGACGTTACTAGGCGTTAATTATATAGACGATTGGGATGCAATAAGTCGACGGCGGTAACTATCACTAGTCGCGCCCAGGGTGAAACTCATACTTTCCATTAGAAGATCACATCGGATTGTGGGAAAACCATTGTTTATCATCGCAAATGTTGCACATGCGCAGCGCGACAACCACCGCTAATTTAATAATGTAAGCGTCATTATATTATATGCATATATGTACAATTGTTTGTGACCCTTGTGTCCACGCTGTACACGTGTCAAGGAATTTGAGTGTACAGATCACAGTATTCAAAATAGTCGGCCTGAACAAGTGCAAGACAAATTAGATCGTAGTCACATGACATAACATTTCAAAATAAACTTGCCTAGATGTAATCAGGTTAATTCTGGCATGTCAGTAATCACTTTTTCTGGCAGTGATTGATACCAATCAGACAAATGTGACAAATAAGGAATTTATATCCATTGCCAATCACATTGAAATGAAGTTAATCTACATGAATGTACTCACATTCTATCTCTCTCTTTCTTCCTCTCCCTCTCCTTCCCCCACTCCTACTTGTCCGCTCTACCTCTCCCTCCAGTAATTATTGTGTAACTACTTTCTTAATTAGGTCACCTAATTCATTCTAAGTCCTCCGTCAGTACATACTAAGCAGCCACACGTAAAGTATTTTTGATTGATTTCAAATGGGATTGCGTTCGGTCACTTCAACTTATTCAACTTCAACTGACTGTGACTTAAGAGCTAGTTTGAGGGTTTCGCTGTATGTAAAATAATACCAACTTACCGTCAGTTGAAAGCATTTAATGTACGACGTATTTCCCATCTCATAATACCAATGTATATCCTATGTTATCTCAATTAATTTCTAAAAAAAAGTAGATTTTGTCAATTACTATAAATGTAAACATGTTAGCCTTTTAAGGGCGACAGTTAGTCGTACGGGCAGTGTAAATGCCAAAGTCAGACGATTATCCCTCTGTCTAGTCAATAGTTACCTATAGACCAAGGTGAAACTCAAATGATTTTGTCTCCGATCGATTTATTTGTTCTATTGCAAGATTTTGATTTTGACATCAACTCTGCTGGTAAAAATTTAGAAACAGAATAAACTTGTAAAGTTTGAACTTCTCTGAGGTGTTCAAGGTGATTGCCTTGATGCACAATGATTTGTCTTTTAATATTAACTGTTATATAATTCCCTCTAATCGCAAGAAATATTCAACCTGTGACTATAACCAAAACAAACATTAGACTTGAATTATTTCTACCCACTGAATCAAGTTGTTAGTGTTGATAGTGATGGTTAGAGTAATAACAAATTGTGTGTTAGAGGTTGTTACTTTCGTTATGTCATGCTACTGACTTTGTGAAAGTTCCCACCGGGGCAAGGTATTCTGCTTATCATGTCATCGGAACTGTGAATTAAAAATGTGATAAGGTGAACTAACAATGAGAATCTAATGTTGTCATTGGTGATAAACACGTTACTGACACGTGATCAATTATTGTAGTTTTATCTTAAAAACTCGTCTGCCATTTATCGGTTGGTGAGTGAAAATAAAAAACTTTGTTTAGTCGACAGT